GGGAACAAGTTGGAGAAGAGTCCACGGGAGGAAACACAGGGCTGTAGATGGGCAGAGGAGGAGGCGGCGGTGACCGAGGAGGCACCGGCAGGCGGTCAGGAGAAGGAAGGCCGAGGAGGCGAAGAGCGAACACCGGCGGCGACTGCGACGACTGCTGCCCGACGCCAACACCAGAACCTCCAGCAGGACCACGACTCCCTCCATGAAGCCCCACGCCAGCACCCCCAGAACGGGAACCCGCTCCAGTATCCGGTCCGGCACGCTCCCTAGCACCCCCAGAACGCACAAACCCCAGCAGCGGTGGCAACAGCGGCTGCGGTTGCGGCGGCCACGGCAGCTGCGGAGGCGGCTGCGGCTGTGACAGCAACGTCGGCGATAGGGGAGGAGGGACTGGGGCGGGGACAGGCGGGGGAAGGGACTCCGCCAAGCCACGAGAGTCAGCAGACCCCTCGGCAGGGACAACGGACAGGAGGGGGGTGACGTGAGACACACCAGACCGGGCAGGGTGGGGAGGGGGAGGAGCAGGGGCGACCGGGGGAGGGGGGAGAACCAAGAACTGGGGGGGAGTCACCGGGGGACCATGGTGGGAAAAGCGGTGGTAGAAGGAGACGGACTCGTCAAAGGTGATGTCGCGAGAGTGAAAGAAACGATGAGACGGCGGGTGGTAGAAGTGCCAGTCAGACGAGTCGAGGGGGAAACGTAGAAAGACACAGGGGACGGTGCGGGCAGTGAGCTTGTCGGTGCCAGAGGCACGAACGTGAGCAAGGCAGCCCCAGACGTGGAACGCATACGCGTAACCAGGAGACCCGGTCCAGAGGAGGGTCGGCAAAACCTGCGGCCGCTGAGGGTGCGGCCACATGTTAAGCTGGTGAGCAGCGTAGCGAACGGCGAATGTCCATAGAAAATGGGGTGCACTGGCATGGATCATGGAGGTACGAGCCACCTCCATGACCAATCCGATGCGTCGCTCAGCGACCCCATTCTGCTGCGGGGAGTCCGGCGGGGTGTATGTCTAGGTGATGCCCTCCGCACGACAGAAGCGACCAAGGCAGCCAGAGGCGAACTTGCCACCATGGTCGGAGTGAAGACGTAACACAGGGAGAGCTCGGTGCACACGCGCAGAGACAAGCCACGAGATAAGAACGTTGGGCACGTCAGCCTTTTGCTCCAGGGGAAACACGGTAGTGTAGTGAGTGTAGTCGTCGACAAGCACTTGGAATTAACGCTCACGACGTGGCCCATGGACGGGGGCGGGGCCTTAGACGTCCATGTGTAGGGACTATAATGGTGCGGTGGTGGGGGGGGACGAGGAGGAGTGAGGGGCACGACGGAGCCGGCCCTCGACGCAGGGGGTGCACGAAGGCACTGCCAAGGAGGGGAGCGCAGGGAACGACGCAGGGAGACTTAAGACAAGACCATGCTGAGACATGTGACGGAGACGTGTGAGGGTGGGGTGACCTAGGCGGTGGTGCCACAGAAGCGACGGGTGAGTAAGCGACCGACACGAGCAAGTCGCGGCAGCCTGGGTAGACTCTGCCACCTGGGGGGGCGTCCCAACCGGGGGGGACGCGGTGTCCAGCATGAACAGGTCAGACACCGGGTCCCCGGGGAACGTGGTGAGGGGGACACCAGTGGCGGCCTCGGTTCTGACAGCGTACCTCTCGTGACCAGGGAACGTAGTGGTGATGCCGAGGTCCTGAAGACAGCCGACACCAACTAGATTCCGAAAGAACGAGGGGACGTGCAAGCTTGTAAGAGAGCCCGAAGGAACTGCCGGACAGGGGAGAGTGGTGGAACTACGAGCGACTACCGGACCTGAGGAAGGGTCTGCAAGGACAACTGCAGCAGGGACGGCGAGCAGCGTAAGCGTAGTGTGGTCCAGAAAGAAACACCGAGACGCGCTAGAGTCGAGAGTGAAGGAGAGCGCGGCAGTGGCGGCTGGGGGCGGAGGAGCTAGAGTGGAGCCAAGGCTAAACAAAGCAAAGGGTCCTATACTTGACGCAGCAGAAGAGCCTAAACTAGGCACACTGGGCAGACCTACACTAGGCAACACGGGGTAATAGAAACCAGTCACACTAGAGTCATCGACATACCGCATATACAATGTAGAGCTAATCTCATCCATGTCCATATCAAATATCCTAACACCACAGCGGAGTAGACTGTGCCAGTTGGGGAGGTCTAGCGCGGGGCCGAAGCTGAGACGAAACAGGTCGTCCAGGCGACTGAAACAGCGAGTGGGGGTATGACCGGTCTTACCACACACGAGGCCACGGCGAGGACCGGTCAGGAGCTGGTACTGGCAGCACCCGTCACTCACACCACCACCCGACGAAGAGCTACGCGCACGACCACTGCGACCACCACCACCAACACCACCAGCGCCAGGCCACCCACGCGGGCGGCGGCTGTCCCTCCGCTGCGACCGTTGCTGTTGCTGCTGTGGCTGCTGTTGCTACTGGTCAAGCTATGGCGCCTGCTGCTGCTCCCGCTGGGGCTGCTGCTCCAAGGCACCAGCCCCAGCCCCCTTGTTTGTACTACCGCCAGCGGATGAACCACCTCCACCACCACCTCCACCCCCTCCTCCACTACCACCGCCGCGCCCAGCCTTGGGGCGGCGGGCCTTACCATAACGGGACTGCGCTGCGGCCACCGCGACAGCAGTCTCAGCAGCAGGGGCTGTCTCTGCGACAGCTGCACAACCGTCATAGTAAGTGCACTGAGCTGGAGCACAACCCTGAAAGATACGGACCGGCGCAGTACCGCTAGGCTGGGCGATAGGGTGCTGACGGGTCACTATGGCAAACAGGGAGTCGACAAAGTCGGAGAGGGTGAGGTCAGCGGGGTGCAGACTAAGAAAGTGGTCGCGGGCAGTGGCAAGGCGGTTGGGGAGGCGGGTGGCAAGCAGGTAAAGGGTAGAGCAGATAGGGGGCTGGAACACACGAAGCTGGGCTTCAGTGCGGGCAGCACGCCAGCTAGCGTCGAGCGTGCGCAGGTGCGTGGCCAGGCCAGCGACAGTGGGGAAAGACGCGAGATCAGGGAAGAGCATGGGAAGGATCAGTGGGCCGGCAGAGGCAGAGGACGGGGTGGAATAACGCGCGACAACAACCACTAGGAACTCTTGCGCAGTCCTAACCGACTTAAAGCGGGGGCGCTCTGACACGGGGAGGGCATGGCTGATTGCGAGCTGAGCGACAGCGTCACGCGACAGCCAGACAGCACGGGCAAGGGCAGCAGCGGCGGCGGACTCACGGTCAGCAAACGTGGGGTCAGCGGGGAGAGCAACAGGGAGGTCAGGGCAGGGGAGCATACTGTCAATGTGGGAAGCCTGGGAGTGGTCGTCCGCTGACCAGTGAGGTGACGGCGGAGGTCGACGAGCCATGAGTCGAACTCAACTGGCTGAACCTGCGCGTCAAAGCGCAGCACCAAGTCCGCCATGAAGGCCGCTGCAGCCGCAAACAGATGGTGATGGAGCAACGAGGAGCAGTGAGAAGGAGTGCTGTACGGTACAGTGCGGTGGAGTGCGGTGGGGCACCGTGCAGTGCGGTGCCACACAGTGCAAAGCGGTGCAGTACGGAGGGGCGCAGTGCAGTGCGGTGCAGTGCGGTGGGGCGCGGTGCAGTGCGGTGCTGAGCGGTGCAGCATGGTGGGGCGCGGTGCAGGACGGTGGAGAGGGCTGGTGAAGCAGGCGGGGACCGGGAAACACGGCGGCTGAGCAGCTGGGCGACGGGGCCGCGGAGCAGCGGGGCGGGTGGGCGACGGGGCCGTGGAGCAGCCGGGCGACGGGGCCGCGGGACGGCTGGACGACGAGGCCCTGGGGCGGCTGGGCTACGGGGCCACGGGGCGGCTAGGCAATGGGACGGCTAGGCGATGGGGCGGCTAGGCCACGGGGCGGCTAGGCGACGGGGCGGCTAGGCGACGGGGCGGCAGGGCCACGGGTGGCTGGGCGCTAGGTGACGGTGCCGCAGGGGGCTAGGTGCTAGGTGACGGGGCCGCGGGGCCAGCGGGGCGGCTACGCGCTAAGTGGCGGGGCAACGGGGCCGCGGGCTGCTAGGTGCTAGGTGACGGGACCGCGTGGCCAGCGGGGCGGCTAGGCGCTGGGTGACGGGGCGACGGGGCCACGGGCGGCTAGGATCTAGGGGATGGAGCCGGGGGGGCTAGGCACTAGGTGACAGGGCCGCGGGGCCACGGGCGGCTAGGCGCTAGGGAACGGGGCCGTGGGGCCAACAAGGCAACGGGCAGCGGGGCCTATGGGGCGGCTAGGCACTAGGCAACGGGGCAGGCTAGGACCTAAGGCGGAAGCGTGGGCTGGCGGGGGGGACCTAACCTACTCATGATACCATCTTAAAGTTAGAAGGAGTGACTAGAATGAGAGTATACAGGGGTATATAGCTGGTGGGTTGTACTCTATATGGCAAGGCCCTATGCAGTCTACTAAACATACACAAATATGTTTGACACCAGTAGCTCCTCAATTGCTAGGACCTTGATTGTGTACTCCTCTTTTATATATACCCTCTTGACTGGCCTTGTGGCTTTTCTTCCAGTGGCCGGACTAGTAGTGCTGCCCTTGTTTGCTTTTGTGTAGTTTGTACTCTTCGTGACTGGCCTTTGGGCCCTTGTCTCAGAGGTTGGACTAGTAGTGCCGCCCTGAATTGCTAGCAGTGCTGATCTTTGGTTTTTCACTACTCTGAAATCTGGAAGCTTCTTTCACCATTACTCTGAAAACTAGGGTGGTCCTCAACATTTTCCCTGAGGCATCAGAGTAACCCCATAATTTTATTTTTTTTACTCTGGCTAGTCAAGGTGGATTTTTTTCCAGCTCTGGTGAAAGTGCTAATTGCACAGAGTAAAATAGTGACAGCAATAGATTTTTTTGGCAATAAAGCAAAGCACAATATTACATTACTAACTCATCATCATCATCCTCCTTGTCATCCTCACTTCCACCTCCGACACTCTCATCGTCTGAGCTCTCTGCGACATCCTTCTGCTGTGGGAAGAGGGGAATTTCCTGCTCAAATTCAACATTCCTAGCTTGCCTACGGTGCCTAATGCGCCTCCACTTCTCCACGATCTGGGGGTAGTCCATGTCGTAGTCCAGCATGCTGATGGTCATCAAGTCACCAAGGGTGGCATCGCACAGGCTTGTGCGATGCCATCCCTTGATGACATTCTGCCGTGAGAATCCGCGCTCGCACTCGACGGTGCTCAAGGGCAACACCGCCAGCGCCTGCCACATCCGCATCAGGTTCGGGTAGGACTTGGACCAGTCCTTCGTCTTCATCATATTGGCCAAACCCTGGGCGAAGTCGTCGTCCTTGCGATGAGTCTTCATGATGTGGCAAAAGGTCTTCAGCTCCAGCTCCATCGCTCACAGTTCGACTCCTGTTGGTGAGGAGGGAGGGGGGGGGTATAATGGCACGAAAAGGAGGTGTTGAAATAACAGAGGCACCGCATCTAACCATATTCAAGACATACGACACGACCTCTTTTAAAGCCACTGACCTGGCAGCTTGTTGTCAAACAGCGCCATGTTCTGCTCAGCCCACTTGCAGCACCGGCGCTCCCACACCTCTGTCTTCTTGGGCCACTGGTCCACCTTGTAGAGCTTCGACCCCTCCATCCGCTTCATGTCCCATAGCCGCCCCTCCAAGCACGCCACTGTCTCCTTGGCGAACGCCGTGCAAAGGTCTTCGCAGTCGGAAGGAGTGCCGCCGAACGCATGTCCCGGGATGCGCGACAAGGTGAGCTCGAACTTGTGCGTGCAGGGAGAGCCATCCGCCGCGATGCCGTGCACCTCGAGCGACCCCTTGCCCTCCTTGTAGCGGGCGAGGAACTTGTCGAGCTGCTTGCTCAGCCCGCCGCCGAACCGCTCCCCGTACTCGATGTATCGGTGCTTGATGTAGGTGACAGTGCGATCGACCTCTTGGGTGACGAGCGTGATGTCCACCTGAAGGTCGGGGCGGGAGGGCAAGGGCAAAGGGCACGGATGTTAGAACTTGTTTCCCGCCAGACACACGCCCAAGTTATTAATCAACTCAACGAGCCACAACAGGGTTTAAAACGATTCAACTTACCGTGCGGCGCTGGAAAAACCTGTTCAGAGTGTTGAGCTCAGCGAGGATGTCGGCAAGGAAGTTAAGGCAGAAGTGGAACTTATAGGACTTCAGCAGCGCGACGTGCTTGTGCTTGTACTCGATGAAGACGACGATGACTGCGCCGAGAATCTTGCAGAGTCGCCGCACAGCGTCACCACGTGCAAGCCACCTTATAGCGTAGAGCCCCTGATGTTCGAGGTTCGTGTCGTGGATGACAAGCTGCAGAGCCTTGAACCTCTCGTACCACGGAGTCGAGCGACCGACGATTTCCCCGAAAGCTCGGATGATCACGTCGACGATGAACAGGTCGGGGAAGGAGTTGGAGGCGTCTTTGACCGCCAGCGCTTCTCTGCGATGGCACCAAGGCACAAGTGAGGTTAGAAACATGCATGCATAATCATAGAGCCATGGACAGGAGGGTACTGCGATGGCAGTCTTACCGATGTGCGATGCAATGGCAAGCGACAAGGTGCGGGATACGCAGTCGGAGACGAGCGACGAGCCCGTTCTTCTCGCCGGTCATCACCGACGCCCCATCGGTGCTAATACCGGCGATCTTTTGAAGCTCAATGCCACTCCCCTCCAGGTGACCCAGCAGGACAGACTGGAGCGACGCTGCATCACACTTGTCGATGGTGAGCAGGCTCAAGAACTCAGTGACGACGCGCCGCTTCTTTAAAAAGGTGCCGAAGACGATGAGATGCTTTCCGCGGGTGCGGTCGGTACTCTCGTCGCAGCTGATGCCGATGAACGGGGAGGAGTGGACATGCTCCATCTGCTGTGCTTTCAAGAAAGCCACCATGGCTTTCACCATCTCCTTGAATCCATACCTGCGACAAACACCATACAATAAGACAACAGATTAGATATCAGTCCCGTATTCAATAGATTATACAAATATGAAAACAGCGCGCTTACTTCGTGATGTACACGCCGTAAGTCTGCTTGGGTTTGTCCTTCACCCCCTCCTGCCACAGGTGACCGATTAGATGTGTGAACATTGAAATCGGGGCATCTTCCTTATAGATGAATAGCATGGAGCGTAAAAGTCTGATGACGCGGGCGGCGTCGGGGTCGTTCTTGGCGAAGTCGTCCATGCGCTTCTGGTTCTCGATTTCCTTGTCAAGGTGAGCTTGCTTCTGCATGCAGGCCTCATGCTTGGTGCTCTCCTTGTGCCACCGCATGCTGCCAATTTGTAAGTCCTTGCCGCCAGGCCCATCGCGACCGTAGCGGGCTGTCGGCTTGCCATGCTGCATGCACACACTGCAACGTAAACAGGGTGAGCCATCGTCAGTTTTATCCAAGACGAGCCAAGGAAACCTTCCATGCCAATCTGAGGTATATTTCTTTTGAGCAGCAAGATAAGCTTTGGCCTTCATCTCGGCCGACGTTGGTGCGAGGGGTCGCTCTGCTTCAACGGCGGGGGCAGGGGTTGTTGGCGGCGTTATCTTGGAAGGAGGCGCGAAGGGGAGATGCCTCTGCTGGTACCGCCGTCTCTTCTTAGCCGACGATGTTGATGCAGATGCCGGCGGCGAGAGCACGGGATCCGGAGGTGGAGGATCTGCCGGCTTGTCAACGGACAGATTCGCCTCCTCCATTTCACGCTCCCATTCGTCGCTGCTTAGACTCGGGAGCGGCAGAGGCTCTACTGGGGGGGCGGTAATTCGACGCTTCGGGAGCGGAGGAGGGTCTACTGGGGAGGCGTTCGTGCGACGCAAAAAGTCTAAACCGCTGAGTGGGGTCGAGCTACGTGGGGGTGGGGCGTCATCCTCATCCTCCCCGCCATCGTCGGCATCGCCCAGGCCAGCCATAGCTGGCGAGGCAGGACGACGAGAGGATTTGAGGCTGGCGGAATAGATCACGTTCGACGAGATGTGAGAGAGGGTTGCTAAACTGGTACACTAGCGGCTACTGCCGATGTAATACAGGGGGAGAAGAACAGGGTGAAGAAGACGAGGCTTTTTCTCGCTTGTTCTTGGTGCCCGTGGCGCCATCGACATGAAGGTTGGGTGCCTTTCTGAGCCATCCTGAACGTTCGAGAAGGGCATATGCCCGCGCGTGCGGGAAAAGATTCCCGCTGTGTTGCATGCCTGTCGATGTGCGTGGCTGCAAAAAATGACAAAGGGGCCAATCAGAGGCACATACACGTACAGCGAGTGTGTGGCAGCAGTCGACGTGGTAAACTCAGGTGTGGCGCCGAAACCTGCGTAAAAAATACACAAGTGTCCAATAGGAGAGAAGGGTATCTGCCAGCGAGGGTGGGTCTGGCAACATATGACGTGGGCCAGCTCGGTGGTCTGCGTGAACAAGGCGAGGATATGGGGGCATGTATGTGGACAGGGGGGTACAGGAAAATACGGGGGTATCCTCCTTACAGTAAACCCCTCAAGGTGGTACAAAAGAAAACCCTGGCTCATCAGAGAAAACATATAATATAAAAAAATTACCCAGAGGCGTAAGGGTGGAACACAAAATCAACTCTGAAAAATCAGAGAATCAGAGTAATTTACTCATGAAAAATAGGGACTGGTTCAGGGCCCTAGATATCAGCCTTTTTACGCTGATTCAGCCTTTTTTCAGACATTTTGATGGTACCAAGACTGAACATGCAGCCTTTTTTCAGGAGTGTACGCTGAAAAATCAGCCTTTCTATTCGTGTGTTGTCTGTTTTTTCAGTCTTTCTTTTTGGGTGTAGGCTGAAGCATCAGCGTAACTTTCGGTGGGAGACACTGAAACCGAGTACAGCGTCATTTGCCCCGCTACTCCCCCACCTGCCCTCCCCAACTCCCTGACTGCCCCGCAATCCGAAAATATGGTGAAGTCCTCCGCAACCAGTCACACCCCTCCTACAGTATAATACCCGCAACCCATGACAATTTGGCTCAGTCCTCCAAAACCTGCCACACCCATCATAACACCCACAAGCAACTCAGGAAATTTAGGCTAAGTCCTGCGAAACCACTCGCCACAACTCACAGTCGCACACAATCCTTCGACAGACACGGCAAATTCCGCCCCAGCGAGATACGTGGCGCCATCTCACAACTCATAACGTAATTCGAAGTTTGACTTCGCATGGGGCGGGCGCCACATTTACGATTAAAAGGAAAACATAGAAATTTCGCACAAATTTCAGGTGCCTTCCAAAACCATCGGCCATACCTTACGTGACTCGGATTGTTTCCGATTCCCCTGGCTACATCAGTTCAGCACTTACATGAAGGTGATTTTTACCTTGACCGGAAAAATGTTCTAGCCCAAACCAATCACTGGCATGTCAACCGCAGCAACGGAGACTTAACCTCGTTACTGAAAGCCACGCTGGTTTTCAAAGCACCATTCAAAGTGTGCATCAGCATTCTTTTCTGAAGTAACGCTGATTGATCAGCGAATATTTTGGTGGTAACGCTGAATTTTCAGCCTTTTTTCCTGGGGAGAGGCTGAATCATCAGCCTAAATTGGAGGGGGGAGGCTGACGAATCAGCGTACCCTAAAATGAATCTTAGGCCCTGGACTGGTTGCTAGTCTCTTGCCAGGGACTTCCCCTTGTCCAGTCTAGGGCAGGGCCTCAGATTTCAGGCAAATTTCCCAGATTCAGGGTTTTTTCAGAGGTTTTTTTGGTACCAACCCTGACGGGCTAGGATTTTTTTTTTACACAACCCTGAAATTTCAGGGCTTTTTTTTTAGTGAACTCTGTTTGTACAGCGTTGCTATTGTAGAGGTCCCTGTATCATCTGCCTAACGGGCAGCTACCCCGAATCCTGTAACAGCGTGATTTGGGGCCCGGCCATAATGACTGTATGTTTTCCCTGCTCCATGTGTGCTGGGGGGTTGTGTGAGGGCACTTGGCCCTTAGCCAATTTTAGGGCTAGCGTGTGCTGGGGGATTTGTGAGGGGAATTTTTTACCCTTCGCCACATTCAGGGCCCAATGTGTGCCTTGCGGCTTTGTGAGGGCGAGATTTCCTCCCGCCCCTGCAATTTTGCTCTGCTATCCGATTGGGTCGTTCGGCAAAATATGATTGGCTGAGGCTTCCTGAAAGTGTAACCGCAAAATTTGATGGGCTCAGCATCATCATAATTCCCGCAGGAATCCTCCCTCCCTCCTCCCCCACCCCCATTCCATCCCGTCTGTGCCCTCCCCGAATGTCGATCCACCCATCTCCCAATTTCGTCAAATCAGCGTAAAATTTTGAAGAAACCCTGATTACTCAGCGGATTTTTTTTTGGAGCCCTGAAAAATCAGGGTA